GATCGGGGAAAGGAGGCTGAGTGCGGGGCCCAGGTACACAGCACTGGGATGGGGGTAGGGTGACCAGGTGTCTGTTTTTCAACCAGAACACCTGGTCGTAAAGGGATCCTGATGGCTCCAGTCAGCACCTGGTGACCGGGCCATTGACTGTCCGGTTGGCGGCGCCGCACAGCAGGGCTGGCAGGCTTCCTGCTAGCCGCCACGCCATGCGGCTCCCAAGAAGCAGCGTCATATCCCCCCTCTGGCTCCTACACGTAGGGGCATCAAGGGGGCTCCACACGCTGCCCCTGCCCTAAGCGCCACCCTCGCAGCTCCCATTGGTCAGGAACCACTGCCAATGGGAGCTGTGGGGGCGGTGCCTGCAGATGGGGCAGTGTGCGGAGCTGCCTGGCCGCGCCTCCACGTAGGAGCCGGAGGCGGGATATGACACTGCCTCCGGGAGCTGGTTGAGGTAAGATCCCCCTCCCGCCCTCCAAACCCCTCAATCCCAGCCTGGAGCCCCCTCCTGCACCTCAACCCCCTCATCATAGAATCATAGAATATCAGGGTTGGAAGGGACCTCAGGAGGTCATCTAGTCCAACTCCCTGCTCAAAGCAGGACCAATCCCCAACTAAATCATCCCAGCCAGGGCTTTGTCAAGTCTGACCTTAAAAACCTCTAAGGAAGGAGATTCCACCACCTCCCTAGGGAACCCATTCCAGTGCTTCACCACCCTCCTAGTGAAAAAGTTTTTCCTAATATCCAACCTAAACCTCCCCCACTGCAACTTGAGACCATTACTCCTTGTTCTGTCATCTGCCACCACTGAGAACAGTCTAGATCCATCCTCTTTTGAACCCCCTTTCAGGTAGTTGAAAGCAGCTATCAAATCCCCCCTCATTCTTCTCTTCTGCAGACTAAACAATCCCCGTTCCCTCAGCCTCTCCTCATAAGTCATGTGCCCCAGCCCCCTAATCATTTTTGTTGCCCTCCGCTGGACTCTTTCCAATTTTTCCACATTCTTGTAGTGTGGGGCCCAAAACTGGCCCAGATGAGGCCTCACCAATGTCAAATAGAGGGGAATGATCACGTCCCTCGATCTGCTGGCAATGCCCCTAACTTATACAGCCCAAAATGCCATTAGCCTTCTTGGCAACAAGGGCACACTTCTTGTCCACTGTAACCCCTAGGTCTTTTTCTGCAGAACTGCTGTCTAGCCATTTGGTCCCTAGTCTGTAGAGGTGCATGGGATTCTTCGCTCCCAAGTGCAGGACTCTGCACTTGTC